TGACTTACAGAGCAAGTCTACATTCACCCCTCTCTCAAGCATTTAAATTTAAAATAAACCTCCCAACCTTGGCTACGACTTTAAGCTCATGGAAGTCTCAGCTACACCACAAACTAATGAGAAATCTCATTAGGTCAGTGCTTAAAGTCCAGAGTCAGTGACAACGTTCACCCTTTATATCCACAGAGCACAAAGGTTCATTCTCAGGAAATCATTTTGCCAGTGGACCTGCTTCCTCCAGCCTGTCATCACCTTGATATTCCTGCTCTTTTCCATTCAGCACGGTAAACTTGGTGAATGGCAACGTAGAAAGAAAATTTAAGAATCCATTCACAGGTTCAATAGCTTTGAGTCTTGCCCTTGCCATGAGTGTATTTCTTCTGCACACCCTAAGCCTGCATTTCAGAGGCATCTTTCAAAGATGTCAAGGCTCTTTCTAATATTATCTTTTCTTGAAAATCCATATGGCTGAATTCATCAGCACAGAGGAGACGAGCGAGAAAAAAAGTTAAGCAAAAAAGAAGCAAAAATTAATTTGATCCCATAAGAAAGAGATGTAAGAAATCACACAATAGGAAAAATGTGCAAAAGATATTTAGGAGTAGACAAATTTAAGGATGACAGTTGAGTGGACCAGAGCTGCAGAAGAAATTTAAAGGAAAATATATGACTAAATGTATAAATAAATCTGAAATACTGAAACCAGCACCTAAATATCACCTATATCACCTAAACATCACCTGTCCTGCAATAATCTCATTCAGTTCATTCTTTTCCACAGATGGCTCTTTGCTTGGTTTAATCTCTAGTAACCACAACAAGATTAAAGAATTCACTCTTGTGGGCATGCAGCTATTAAGGGGAACCTCCCAGAGTGACCATTCATGGGATTCTCTGTCAGGCACACTCCCACCACTGTCACTGCTGGGACCCAACAGCAGCTCCAGGGCTTCTCCTGGCTCACAGCCAGAGCAGATTTCCTCACTGGTTCCAGCCCAGGTTTCCCTTGGCAGAGTCTCAGATCTCTCGTTCCATAAAGCCATTTATTCCCAGCACAGTAACACAGCCACAGCCCGAGCCTGTGCCTCTGAGGAGGGCCCCCACAAAGACTTTTATCTCTGGACTTTTATCCCTTCACAGCTTAAGCACAGGGAAGTTTTGGCTCCTCTTCCTGAGCCTGGGCTCCTGTCCTGACTCTGGGTGTCCCTCACCCAGAGTGTGCCACAGGACACCTTGGCATGCAAAGGGTCACAGGTCACATCCTCCTGTCTCTCAGAGCTCCAACCCAAAGCTCAACCTGCAGCTTGCAAACCAAGCTACCTGCACCAGGTGTGGCCCTCAACACAAGCAGAACGCACAACGGTTACTGGGATTTTAGCAGGAGGCAAAACTGTGTGGCAAAAATGTGTGGCACTGGCCACACATTTCAGGAACCAGAATGTAAAAGCAATACAAAATCTGGGCAAAGGTCTGAGGGAGAGCCACTCAAGGCAGCTGTTCTTCAGTCTGGCTGGCCAGTATAACTCCCTGAAAACAAAGGCTGCAGAAAACTAGAAACTCCTTCAAAAGAGTCTGTCAGCAGTGGGAAAGTAAAGGAGGGAACAGGACCACCCAAAATGTCTCACTTTGCACAGGTCTCAGAATACAATGATAATACTATTTGTCACCAATAGCATGAATTTTGTCTGAACAAGCACTGGCCAGACACTTGCCTATGAATGAGAACAGAAAATGTCTTTCTTCTAAATAAAAACCCAACCAAATGAAAAGCCACACAAAAACCCCCCAAACTGGTCTTTCATCTTTCACCTATCAAGTACACATAGAAGAATCACATTCCCCACTGGCTCACACTTTCCTCCCCTTTGTTTTCCTAGACATGAAAGGGTTAAATTCATATTTTGGAGCATTAAGATAAAAACTGTTTAAAATTATCCACACACATTTTAAATCTGATCACTTTTAAAAAGATCAGCCAGTGTGAGCCTGAGGAGCTTCACCCCCATTTCAAGTGAAAATGCAGAAGCAGTAACGCTCCATTCAGCCACACCAATCCTGCCTTGGAAGACTCCTACCTGAGAGACTGGCTGAGGGATGATGCAAATAGATAACTTTGTCATGATGACAAGCAGGAAACTGCAAAAAAATTAAATCAGCTTAAAGCACAAATTTAGATGCAGGTACCTTACCATCACAAAGCTCTGAAATAGTGAATTATGGTTTGTTAAAAGTTGGTGTTTATCTATGAAAGTGTTGCTAAATTAGGGCATATTCATATGATCTAGGATCTACCATGCTTGGAATAAAGAAATAAAAATCCAGTATGATGGCTTATGAGTAGTAAGCAAATTTAATGGCAGGTAAATGGCCTGGTCATTGCCCTGCAGATGGAGAGGAGAGCCTTGCACAAGCTCTGGGAAGCAGCCAGCCCAGGGAGAGGAAATGTTCCTGCACGAACAATTCCCACATATTTATTTTCCTGCAAGAGATCAGCAGTCCATTAATAAGGCTGTCAGTGAAGGCATTGTAATGACACACTTTGTATTTGCATTTGCTACTTGTGTCTGCCTCCAACAGATTTCTGTCATTTTACTACAGAGATTTTGTCTATTACTGTCTTGGGGAAAAAAATCTAAAAATGCCCATTTTCCCCTGTTTGACAGTTCTATAAGCAAATTTAATTTCTGCTTGAGGAGCTTAAAAATAATTTCACTTAAATAAGCAAAGACAGTAGTCTATGAAATTAAGCCCTTGTTTTATGTAAATGTCAAATAATTATATTAGGAATGCAAAAATAAGCCATCAGCAGGAACACAAATGCTTAGAACAAGATTGGCATTATTGTTTTCATAGCCAGTCTGATAAGAGGCAATTTTACAATATCAGTAGATGCTGAGGCTCCCATGAAGTCTAATGACAAGACTGATTTCTTGCAAAATTCTTGAGTATAATTAAGTTTCAAAAAACTGAAAATGCAACAGGCAGACTTCATGCTTGTGTGGCTTAGTAAAGTGCACTTCTGGCAACTTTGCTCTGACACACACATGTAAAGGAGATAAAAAGAACTGGAGGAGTGTCTTGCAAAATTATTTGTTTTATCTTGTTCCTTTTCAACTTTTTGGAGGAAACAAATTGTAAAATGACTTCACTTTACATCTTACTATTTCCAACATCTGAGAGTGTTGGATCACAAACTAATAATTCTTCTTTACATGCTGCTGGTAAATCTCATGATCTGAGAAAATCAGCATGGACATTTTATGTATTTTTCCTTTAAAAACATTAAAATTATTAACTGGTTAGATATTAATCAGAAAAAGTATGCCTTATGAAATCACAGCTTCCTTTCTCTCCTCATGTGCTTCCCTGTGGCTTGGCTTCCCTGCAAGCAGAAAGCATTTCTGCTAATTTATCAAAGTATTGTTTGGCTGCAAGATGGCATGGTGACAGGGCACTGCTGGCAATGAAATCCCCAAATTCCTGAGGTGGGTCAGAGCAACACAGGATACAAGGATTCTAAGTTGGGAGCTCAGCTCACACCCAGAACCACACTTCCCACTCATGTGTGTCATGGATTCCTAATAGGTTTGGTTTTGAAATCAAGGACTGTTGAGATATTGGGACAAAAGACAGATGATGGATTTTGGACCTGGTTGGCCTAAGAGATTTGATAGCAGAATGCCTTGGCAAGAGCAAAGAGAACTTTGAGAATTAAAAGAAGATTCAATCAGACTGGTTTATCAGAAAAAGAAAATTTCATTAAACTCTGCAAGCAAGAGATGTTGTAATATGCATAAGTTTGTGCATGTGATTTTAACCTAACCATTGTAGTAAACATTACTAGTCTTCCTAAAACATAAAAGTATATAAACATTGGTTGTCCAGAATAAATTCAGGTTCTGATAACCAAATCAGTCTTCCCCATTTCTCTTCATCACTGACAAGTACAAGAAAGGTATTACACAACAAAAACAGGCCAAATAAGCATATTTTATCCCCCAATTTATTATGTTCGTGGCTATAGTACTATGAAACTGAGCTTCAAATGCTCTGCACCATAATGCTGTATCCTTCAAAGCAGAGATTTGGGGAAAAGCAAACAGGCAGTTCTTTCTGTGCAGGAGAGAGCAGCCCTGGTCACCCAGCTCTGCAGACAGATATTCCTCCTGGGCTGGCTCCAGTGAGTGCACAGTTGGGTTTTGCTGCACACGGAGTGCAGAACAGAGAGGGTTCCAGGGCTTGTGTTCCAGTTCAGGGCACGACACGGGGTGCCAGCCCCGCCTTCCCCACCTGCTTCTTTGCCTCAATCCTCTTGTGTCACATGCATTGTCTAAAATACAGTGCTAATATGAATAATAAATTACGCTGTCATGCGTGATCCTGTCAGCAGCTCCAAATTAATTAAGAATTCTCCTTGATTAAAATCTCTGACCCGTATTACCTGTCAGGGCAGCTCTCCTGACTCAGGTGTGCAGAGCAGCCACCAGGGCTCTGTGGACCTGAACAATGCAGGTTCTTGTTGAGAGCTGGGTGTGAGTAAACTCATCCATATGTATCCAACAGCACTACTTTCATGCAACATTACCCCTGTGCTTAATCATTTATGGCTCTGAAACATAATAGCACTCAGAATTAAGAACGTCTGGGTTGAGCCTTCAATTTACTTCTACAATAGCAAAGCTTTAATTCTTTCTGTCCTAACAGAGCTAATTATAATGCTTAGGTCTGGGCTTTTTAAACTATTTTTTAACGTTTACTCTGCATACTCTGTACATATGTACTCATCTATCACTTCAGAATATCTATTGCCATTTTCACTGGAAAAAAAAATGCTGTTGTGAAAACTAAAAGAAATGGAGCTTGCACAAAAATTAAGCTTTCTTTCCAAAATTCTCTAACTTGAACACCCAAAACATTTTATTTTACTGAATTATGTAGAGTTTCCATTGCACAGCCTGTCAAAATCAATTATAAACCAAACAGAACACTCAAACACTTACTGGTTTCAGTGGCTACAATAGTGATGTTGTGCCATGTGCTGGTTTCTCTGTCCAGGGGTGTTGCCAGAGTTATTTTCCCATCCTCTGCATTGATGTTGAACTGTCTCTCAAGGTCAGTGTGGCGATCAATGGAAAACCTGTAAAACAGACATCCCTGTAATCTACTTAATGAAGTTGGTGTAATCCATATAGTCACAGAGACAATTTAGGGAGCCCTCTGAGAGCTGTAGTTTTATAGCCAAACGGATTGAGAAGCTCAATAGCATAATAATTTAGTAGACAAAATGACAAACTGAGGCTAAAAAAACTTAATAATTATTGCCCAAGGAGTAATTAGCTGTATACCCAGTGTGAAGGTCGTAAAGTGCCCTCAGGTTCACTGGGTAGCATCTCTGAAAAACGGTGCTGATCAAGAGTTAATTACACAATCCATCACATTTATTGGACAGCTTCTATGGTATTTCACAGTAACTGATGATAATTTCAACAGTAATGTATTAAGTCACAAAAGTAGTGGGCTTTGTGGTTATTTTAAAAAAGGGCTGAATAACATTATTTTGCCAATAAATTTCAGATTAACGAAGCATGAACGATTCACCAAGCACATTATTTGCTTATGGTTCAAGCAGCTCCATGGGCAAAGCACAGTCAATCACCATTTTTTCCTATAAAACACAGAAATGCTGGAGGCTTGATTCTTTTCTGGGTTAACATCACTGATTTTTAGCCAAACAATTTCCATCTGACAGGTAGTCAGAGTTTGCAAATGCGAATGTCCAGGTAAATTCTGCAGCCCAAGCAGGGAGCCAGAGCTGCAGTGGATTGCTCCAACGGTGCATTAAGCAGGATGATGATTTAAAGCTCAGGTCCAGATCTCCAGAAAGCTTTTATGTTTGTCCATTTGCACAGAGCTATTTTATTAATGAATTCTTCTTGAAAAGAAACTAAATGACAAAATTGAGCCTTCAGTTTCTTGACAGGAAAGGTGGGGAAAGAGGGAGTTGAGTGATAAACTATTGATATGGTTTAACAGCAATTGACTTCAAGGGGTTTTGCTGAATCCTGATTGTGGATTTATACAAAAGCCTTTTAAGCCTTTATGTCTGTGTATTACAGAAGCTACCAGCATGCACTGGCAGTTTTTACATCTGTTCTGCATTACAGCAAGGCACAATAGTTAGGAGAGTTAGGATAAGGTATCACACTCAATTACCTTATGGAGTGGCCAGAAAAGTGACTCCAGACTGTCACTTTCCCATCACTTTTCTGCCTTTTGCAAGCACATTGTTAAAATACCCCAATAAAAGTAAAAGAATGTATTTTACTGCAGTGAGAATGGCATTGTTATCTGAAAATCAGCTATTCCATTCTGGTTTGTGCTTTAGCAGAAGCAATTTCCACAAAATATTCTGATTTGGAGGTCCCTTTATACACTACAATAAATATATTCCAATGAACTCAAACTCATTCCAGCCTAACACAATCGATTTTAATAGACACGGCATTAGCATCTGATTTCAAAGCTCAGGATTATTGTGTTCATCTTTTTTTTTATTTATTTCAGTATCAGATATTTTCATATTCAGAATGAAAGTTACATTGCAATTAGATTATTTGTGCAATGCATTCTGGAAGATACAGCTCACTTTCAAAAAGAGCTCTAAGTAATGAAAACTTATCAAAATCTCAAAGTTTAAGTGTTTAAATACTGCATTGCCAGAGTTCAAGGCTAACCTGGCCACACTGGTAAGGTACTTCACAAGTAATGCATTTAAGAGGGAAAACCCCAGCTTAACTACAAAATGGGATTTGTTAGATATTTACTTTTTTTGTTTGAAGCTCTCAGAAGAACTAGTTCTCCTCATTGAAAAATTACTAGTTTGGTAAGAAGAGTACCAGAAAAATACAACGTCAAATTCCAAATATCTGTGCCTCAAGCTGGGCACATGCATGTGTATTTGGACACTGAAGTAAACTGATTTTCTCATGAGCTCCACATGCTCAGTTCTCAATGGTTTAACGGGAACTGCACTAAACTCAGCATTTCTGAAAATCAGGTCACTTGTGTGGAAGAATAAAGCTGCAGGTACTTAACTTCAGGCAATCATTTTTGAAACTGTATTTTGATGTCTCCCTAGTTCCATTTAAAGTATTAGAAGTAAAATTCTGGTACTAGTGAAGTTAGTAAAAAATACCTTACAACCTTTCACAGGTTTAAGATTTCACTCAAGAAAATACAAGAAAAGACAGCAGTCAGCTCTTTGTAAGAAGTCATCACTTAAAACTGTCTTTTCATTTTCAAGTTTTATGCAATGATGCTGAAAGCACTCTGCTGAATCCAAGCATATAAGAAATTTTCCCAGTCCACAAACAAAATAAAATGTGAAATGCTTATATGGTATTCAGTGTTTAGTTGACCTGGGCTTGACATAAATTCCACTGAGGAAAGTCAGTTTTTCTCTAAGGATCAATCCTTCCTTAAACTTCCACTCACGGCATTTCTGCCATGCAGGTTTTGAAGTTATAAAAGAGGGAGTGACACATTCGTGAGTTTGTTATATTTCATCTCATCCCAGCAGTATTTACTCACAAGACAAACCCAGCAATTCAAGAGGAAACATTTTTAACATAAGTTGTGTGTCTTTGCAAGACAACAAAGAGGTAAAACTCTCTCCTGATTTTAATGTGATAAATATTTGTTACAAAACCAAAAAATAAAATCTTCAGTGTCATAAATCTGGGAAAACTAATGATACATTTGCAGCTTCCTTTTCATGATAATGGTGTTGTAACTCTTTTTAATGGGAATGCATTGTCAGATCCATAAAACATACATAAAACATATATTTCTCTAAAAATGAGAAAATAATATCTTGGGAAATAATATCTTTTGAAATTGCCACAAAGCCAGCACAGGTTATTGGGAAGTTTGGGTTAGTTTATGAGTCTGCTATGGCAATTATAGGAACAACCCCACAGTGGTTTAACAGAAGCCTGGAAAGGATTCTCAGTCCTGCTCTTGCACTGCTGCTCTTATGACTTATTTTATCTACTCCTTATTTGCACTAATGTAAATAGGAACAAAAACCTTTTTTTTTGCTGCTCCTGCTGAGATTTGAACCCCAGCACTGACACCCCAGGAGTGGTAAATCTCCATTTTTATTAATGCCAGGCAGATTGGACAGGGTACTTAGTGACAGATAAACAACTGCACCATTGGGGAGGTACAAAATATTGGATCTGGGTTTTTAAGGCCTGCTGTGAATTAAGAAAATGATCAGTTGCTGCCAAAGATGAAATCTCTGCCAAAAGGAATGGGGAAAACCAGCTCCAGTGAATCTTATCTCTCCATAGAGAAAGCCACTGAAGGGCAGTAATTTATAGGAGGGCACTTGCAGTATAGGAAGAAACATTATTGCTCATCTGTTTTGCTGTGTGCCTGGATCATGCTTCATCCCACATAACTCACTGCAGATGAAGAGAGCATCCTTATAAAGTAACAGCAGGAGCATGGAGTGGGCACTGCTGGGGCCCACAGCTGTGCCAGCAGGGGATGACATTCCCAGGCTAGAGCTGCTCCACCCTGCCCACAGCAGCCACAGCAAAGCCTCAGAGCTCAGCTGGACTCACTGGGCCCCTTCCCCAAAGGAGAGGCATGCATCCAGATGTGGCCCTGACACAAAATCCTGCACGTACTGGGCTGGAACACAGCAAACTGCAATTATTACCCAACTCTGTAAAGCCTTTTCACCATCAGCCTTAAAAAAATAGGAGGCTCTTAAGCAGCATGCCACTAAGGACCAAAAAGAACTTGTGTTGTGTATTTTAAAGCTGATAGATTAGAAAAAAATATCATAGAATCACAGAATATCCTAACCCACAAGGATAATTGAATTCCAGCACCTGGCTCTGCACAGGACAGCCCCAAAAATCCATCTACACACCTGCTTGTAAGCCTGTGAGATGCTTTGTGCCTTTAGGCCAAGTGAGAGAAAGTTCAGACAATGCTTTATATTTTCTATGCAAGCATTAAAAGCAAACTACTGGTGAATTGGTTAGAAATTAGGGAAAACAATTTTTTTTCCTTAAAGAAAAAAAAAAAAAAAAAAAAAAAGAAAAGAAAAGAAAGCAATAGAATAGTCTGGGTTGGAAAGGATCCTAAAGATCATCTCGTTCCAACCTCTGACTTGGGCAGGGACACCTTCCCCTAAGACCACAACCTTCTTTCCAGGCTGTATTTGATAATAACTTTTCTAAATTCTTTAACATTTTATCCTTTGACTCAATTATCAGACTCTTCCCATGTTCAGAGATATCCAAGTTTGATTTCATTTGTGGCACTGCAATCCTCTGAACATGTGGAGCCTTTGTGTATCAGACTAATGCAAAGCAGACATGCTATTGGGAGCACAGAAGGTGATTCATATTTTGTTTGTGCTGCCTGGGTTTTTATAACAAATGTACACAGTAGCTCTGTCTAAGCTAAATATTGATAGAACAGATATCTATTGAAAAAATGTAATTTCCTTGAAGTACAATTCATTGTGGCATGCTAAAATTCTGTTTTGAAGGGAAAAAAAGGGATTTTAGAAAGGCCAGGCAACACTAACATTAAAACAGTCCATCAGTTTTAGAACAGCTTGTTGTAATTTTTCAGATTTTTAACTAAAGTTTGATATTTTTGGTGTCATAGAAAATATGCATAAAATCTGCATCATATACATGATACAATAACAGAAGAAACACCTGAAATGTACATTCCAACCAATAAAACCAGTGCTTGAATATGTTTCTGTTAGAACCTGCCAGCTTTCTATTTTGTTGCAAACTGGAGAGAAAGGAATTGTATTTCTGCTCCCTACTTATCTCCAACTACTATTTTCCCTCTTTTAATAGTAGAATTACTAACTTGAAACGTTTTCTGTCCTTAAAATATTTTTATGGAAAAAATGGGAAAAAAATAGAAGAACTTGAGCTTTCTAGAGCTCTGCCAGATAAAGCCAAATTAATCAGGTAAGCAAGCAAGAGCAAAAAAGTTTCACATAAAGTTGGGCTCGGTATATTCCTTAATTGGTTATGAAGCCAATATTTTAGAAAACATAAAATCTTAAGTACTGTATCTATTATTTAAAGAAAATATATAAATCATACTAATAAATTACCTTTAAAAAAAAAATGTAATGAATTTTGGCCAGTTCTGTTTCATGTATGCTAAGTGTTTTGTATGACTTGATGAGCAATAACATTCTAATTCAGTTTCCAAACACAAAGTATTTTTCTTTTTAGAAGTTTGAAGGTCTCTTGATTTATAAAATGATGAAAAAGTAGAAACTAGATAAGTCTTTTACTCAGATCCGTTTTTTGGACTTGGACAGAATAAAAAGGCTAAGTTTTAGAACAGGGGTAGGTTTGTAAAAGGTCTGAATTATTAAGAGTTTGAGGCAGGTGAGAAAAAAAATTCCAGGGCAGCAGAACAAGAGTGGAAAAGCAGCCAAGGTAAGAGTGCAGCAGGGGTGGAGGCAGGCTGGGGTGAGGAACAGAGGGGATGGGGCAGAGACAGAGGAGCCAGGACCGAGGCAAGAGCAAAGCAGAGCAGGGCAGAGGGAAGGAGCTGAGTTTCCACTGAGAGAGAGATTACTGTGGAGCTGGAATACAGGGAAGAGACTTGCTGTCACCATGGCTGGTCTCACATTCCTCACAGAGGATCTTTTTTGTCTTTTTCACAGTGGGCAGCAGCAAAAAAATCAGGGATGGAGCCACTGCTTCAACTGTGACAGATCGAACCCTGATGTTCTACAGTATTTTTGTTTAGGAATCTATGATGATTTTATAACGCAGCTGATGCTGTGTTTATCTGCTTTTGAAAGTCTGATTTAGAAATGAGAATCATAGAATCAGAGGACACCCTGAGTAGGAAGGGACCCACAAGGATTATTATTGAGTGTTAGAACCTGAAATGCAGGGAATTCTCAGAACTTTGGACCTATAAGGAAAAGCTTAGAATTAAATACCGGATTTGATCTGAGACCTTGGAAAAGGCTTCCAAACATAGGTGACAGAAGCAAGAATGTGGATTTATAGTTTAGACCAGAGACACGTTAAGCTAAGTAAAGTTTAGAGATTTAGACTTTAAGATACAGAAAAAATAAAAGTAGCTACAAAGGTAAACAAGGAGTTTAGAATGGACCACTGTAGGTTTGTGTTATAACATGACTGACTTAGAAAGCTTATGCTGTACCATGAGTCCATAAGATGAAATATTTAAGGATTGGGTCAAAAACATAAATATCCTTGTCGGCAATGTTTTATTGGTCAATAACTCCTTAAAAGGCCTGGTAACTAAAGGTCTTGTGACCTTCTGAACCATGTGGTGAAGATGTGAGCTGAACTCACCCTTGCTGCCTATGCAGAAGATAAGAAAAATAAATCACGTTATCTAAAAAACTCAGAGGTCCCATGTCTAACTCATTCAAAACTCCTTCAAAAAACCCCATAATTGAGTCTGACTCCTATCCCTGCAGACCCCCCAGCAATCCCCCCTGAGCATCCCTGGCAGCACTCTCCAAACGCTCTTGGAGCTCTGGCAGCCTCAGGGCTGTGCCCATTCCCTGGGAGCCTGGGCAGTGCCAGCACCTCTGGGGAAGCAGAACCTTTCCCTGATCTCCAGCTGTTCCCTGGGTGCTGTTCCTGGCCCAGGGAGTAGAGATCAGAGCTGCCCCTCAGGAGGAAGTTGTGTTAAACTCAAACATACTCTCCAACATCTTCACACACAAGACTCAAAGCATCCGAATGTGTTGGCACTTCTGAATTTCTAATTTTGAAGACACTATGCTATGATATGCACCATGCAGGACCTCTATATAAAGGTTTAAAGTCCAGCTCTGCAACAAACCTGATGGAAGTGACAATGATTAGAAAATGATAGTGATAGAAAATGATGGATTATAACAGCTAACATCATCCTCCTGATGCTGCTGACTACTTGCCTGGCTTAAATCCCTGAGGCAGCAATGCACAGTGATGATTACTATTAAATAGACTCTCTCCACATATACTTTTGCTATGAATTCCACATTTTGGTGTTGGTTTTCCTAATGCTTTTAGCAGGCAGTACTACACAGAGCAGAATTTGCTTTGGAGCACTCACCACACCAAGCAATCACTACCAAGGGGGAGTGGAACACGTGTGCTCATCAAATTAGATAAAATCCACTGATCTGATCCAACTGGAATAAAAGATATTGTTCAAATTAGATCAAAAGGGGAAAATATTATAAACTAAAGATGCAGGAGTCATATGGGCATAATCATCTCTGACTTTGTATCTTTAAACCAGGAATGGCTTTAGACAAAGGAATACAAAATATGTTCTGACAACCTTACAACTGCATGGCACAAACTCAGTATTGTTAGTGCAGACACTACTGGATTATTTAAATTCACTGCAGAGATACACTCTGATGATTCAACCCCATCCAACCTCATTTCTCATAAGAGCCACTCACATTTCTTATTTTCACTGCATTCCTCTGTTTTATAAGACTACTCCTATGGCAAGGAGCATTTTGAGGACTTCGAAAATGATCTGAACTGATAAATCTAACATCATCAACTAAATCCTATCCAGGCATTTCCACAGAAACAGAACAGCATGAAAACAGCCACACAGTGAGTGGGGAAATACACTTGGGATCTGCCAGCAGCATTCCCAAAGAACCCTTTAAAACAACCCTACCTTATAGGGCTGGAAGACACATCAGGGTCGTGGGCTGTCACCTGCCCCAGCACAGAGTTGAGAGCAGCATTTTCATGCACTTCCAGAAGGTAAGTGGGTGAGGAGAAGACTGGGGGCTCATCAGCATCCTCCACCATGATCTTCACGGTTGCTGTGTCCTTGAAGGGGCCCCCGCTGAGGAACCGAGGGTCGATGTGAATGTTGGCTGCCTCCACCTTCAGGGTGTAGGACTTTTTGGTCTCAAAGTCCAGTGGCTGTTGAGAAGGACAAAGATAAATGTCATTCACTGATGGCCATAGAGAGCAAGTCATTGTAATGCTGATGGATTGGAGTTATGTGCATTTTTGAGCACATGGAACGAGTTTTAATGCAGTCACTTCCCTCTCCCAGAAGCCCAACCTCCAGATTTTCTAGGCACATCAAGATATCTGTTTATTTACCAGCTTCAGAGAAAACAGCACTGTTTCCTTGTTTTTCACAAGAAATTTACTGAAATATTCCCTCTCATGAATTATACCATTACAATTACATATCAGACAAATACTACAAATTTGTTTGCGATGACACGAGTTGCATACCAATAATGCACTTCATCAGTGCTTTACTGGCTGGAGATAAGAAAATAAATTCAACTGGTTCCACAAAGAATAAATATTTTATTACTTCCAGAACAATGTGAGAAATGCAAAGAACTAGAAATTATTTTTTGTTGGACTGGGGAGGCAAAATGTAGAGCTAATCATATGAGAAGGTACTTCAATATTCTTGCACTACAAGTACCTCTGTATTTCAGTTTATAGGACTAAATGAGGTAGACATCTCTCAGGAATTTCTTAAAACTGTAGCAATTTCTACTTCTGTATCTTTTATCTTTTTTTTTTTTTCCACAGACAGAATCAAAAAACAAATTACTTTATTCTATCAATATGCCTGCCATATTACCACTGTTTTTACTATTTTACAGTCCTGTATTAACTCATAAAAGATGAAAACTCTGTGGATTTAAGGGACTGAAATACCAAATAAACCCCAAATCTGTGACACTTTTGAGTGGTAGACTTTTTCATTATGGGAGATTCAAGTTTGTGTCTTGAAGCACATCAGTATATTCACTTCATAATTCTCTTGTGTCTCACAACGATTCAAATTTCAAAGATGCAAATTGCCAAGCATTGGAAAGATATTAAGATTTGCATTATAATGTCTCAGGGATAAAAAGAAGAGGACATAGACACTCTGAATCTGTAATGCAAATACCAGCAAGAGCACAAACAGGAATCTTCAGGAAGTCTGTCAAAGCCTTCAATATGTATATCTTCAAATTCTGTGGATTTTTTTTCAGGTATGAATCAAGCTCTAATGGGATTTGCTCTTTCTCACAAATTCTAGTAAACACAAGAAAATCTTGCTTCTTTTGCAGCTCTTAAATTAGTACCCTTTTGAAATTATGAATGGGGATTTACAAATCAGCATATTCACAATTTGCCAATCATGGCTCCTGTAGCACTTTTTCAATTGCTTTTCATATGCTTTACAGAAATGACAGCACCCCAATACATTTAGTCATGCCTAATCAGAATATCATATTGAAAATTTACTCAGCATTGTCTAAAGCCCATGATTTTATGCTGAAGAAAATCTGTTGGTGAGCAGTACCCTACATACATCATCTACTGGAGTAGAACCAAAATTATTATGGCTGTCAAAATGAAAATATGAAACAACATTATGGTTGAGATTCAGTTATGAAATAAAGCCAAGGGAACTGGGGCAAAAGGCTAATTGCCTCAGCTTACAGGAGAGGCCACAGCATACAATAAATAACAGTAAGGAATAGCTGGGATGTATATCATAATTTTCTCTTTAGAAAAACAAATGTAAATTTAGATAAATATACATCCGTTTATAATAAAGCTAGAGTGCTGACCTACTCACTGAGAAAGAGAAAACACAAAGTTTTGACAGGCAATCTGTCTGACCTCTTTCATGACAGGTACAAGTGGAATATTAATTACCTGTGCTCATTGGATTCACCTTTTCTCACTGGAGTATCATGGTTTGGGTTTTGTTTACTTTTGTTTTTTATAAACAAAGATTCATTTAGAGTGATCTGTGCTATGCAGTTAAAACCCTCTGCCACTGCTATAAATTATATTAATTCCCTATTTTCAGAACACAGCATGAGGAACAGCTTTTTGTCCTTTCCCAGAAAATAGTGACAATTAAATCTGCAATTAATGTTTCCCTGGCTTTACTAGAGGAGTTTTCTTCTACGCTGCCTCTCCTCATATTTCTGATAATTGGGTGGTGGTTTTGTTGTGTACATGCAAATACCTCACCTTGCACACTTCAAGACTGTAAAAGCACAGAAAAGACAACATGGTTTTCTTGAGGGCTCAAATTTGACACTTCTCATGTGCAACTACCAATCTCCTTAATAAAATTCACTGAAATCCCTGTTCATTGAGTGAAGACAGTTCAACATGAGAAAAAGGTGAAAGACTAAGCTCTCACATATCAGGTAATTTAATTAATGCACTGTGATTTATTTTTCTCTGAACAGCTACACAAGAAATCAAATAATGCAGAGAAGTTATTTGATGAATACTCAGCCAAGATTTTATAGAAGTTTAAACCACCACCAAAGTGGAATTTAATCTACTCTTCTCCTTTGGATCCAAGGAAGCAAAACCTGCATCCTGTGGCCACATGGGAGCCTGGATAAGATTAACATTTCCAGCACCCGTGGATGTCTCCCCAGTGGTCAATTTTCTCCATGAAAATTCAGAGGAACATGGTGTAGACTCTTTTTTATCACTGGCTGGACACCTCATCCATAGATGGAAGAATCCCTGGAAATCCAGCATCTTCTCACAGAGCCAAGTCCGGCTGGGTAGTTGCATGTACAATAAACATTTATGTTTTTAACAGAGATTATGATTTACCTTTCTCACTCTAATAATGCCATCCTGAGTTTGGGCATCCGTAGTAATCTCAAACACATCCATTCCATCTCCTTCAATAATATCATAGGATGATTTAGCATTTTCTCCAATATCCAGGTCATTTGCTTTCACCCTTCCTATTGGTTCACCAAGAGCAACATCTTCCATTACTGAGAAGTGATAGAGACCTTACAAATAAGAGGAAAAGACTAAACATTACAGCTGCTCCCGATGTCCCCTGTGTGCTCTTCAATGTTTACACATCCCCAGTGCCAACTCTTGAGATCTGCAGCTGATCCAAGCCCCATTTGCATAAGTTATTGACTGAAAGCAGCACAGTGTGGTCCTCACACAAGAATATTCACTTCACTGGAGGTGAGCATCCTTTCCATTCCAGCAGTTTCCTCCTTCTGCCTTGCAGGGATGTTTTGTGTTGGGAAACACAAATATTGAGCTCCTTTCAACACTGCAGAACTTACCTTTTTATACAGATATCTTATTGACAAGGAGTTACAATTCAGCCAAGAAACTTTGGCTTTTACTCCACACAAAAAAAAAAAAAAAAAAAAAAAAAAAAAAAACCCCGAAAAAAACCTGGTCTAATTCTTTAAAAATCTTTCATGCAAATGCTTACATAACTTCAAATATTTTCTACATATCTTTAAATATTTACTACTTTTAAAAATGCAATTTGATTTTGTTTGTTTAAACCCTTCCACCTCTCTTTTGTGGTAAGAAACTAATCAGGAAACATTCAAGCAACCCCCGAATTTTTTTTTCCTTTACTGAAAACAATAACTTTTCATAGTAATCATTACTGTGTTTACTATTTGTTGCAGAGTTACACTAAAATTCATCTGAAATTGCTATTCAAATTGTCAATGTTTTATTTTTTGTTACACCTGCTTCAAACCTTTTAAGCTAAAAAACATCAAAAATCTATTTAGATATATTATTTTAGGCAGAATTTTTTAAGGCAAAACCCAAAATACAAAAGAAAGTGGGTATCTCCCTGCTCTTAACAGTACTCTAAAAAAACAGAAGATAAACATTTTATGCCCAAAATTCCTTCTAGAGTCCTCATATTTCTACATCTTTATAATTGACTCTTATTGAAGCTAAGGTTACTACATGAGCTAATCAAACAAAATGCTGCTCAGGAATTAAAATAGGCAAAAAGAACTCAAGGATAATAGAAAAGACTATTAAAACAGGTATTGACACAGGATTCTGGCCTTGTTCTTCTCTGTCCTCCCTGTTGTTCTAAGACACTCTGTTAAGTGCAGCTAATAATTTCCCAAAAACAATGTTCTGGAGTTGTTGCTTCACCTGTTGTAGGTGATTGCAGTAGCAACAGTTGAAAATAGGACAGAAACTGAGGAATTCACAAATACATGTATTAGCTACACAATGAAGTCCCAAAGTGACTTGTTTTTAATGTTCCCAGGCTAAATTATTAGAGATAATTTGGTGATCATCAAGATTGCTCAGAATATCCATAATGGCTCAAAAACAATGAGCAGCCAAAGAAATGAAGTGCCTTGGGAGATTAAATTATGCATTCATCATTTACTCTGCTGTCCACACGTTGTGGTTTAAATCTCCAGATACAGCTGATTGCATTGTTAAGTTGAAATTTTGCTCTCAGCTTTATTAAAATAGCTTACAAAATATTAAGAAAAAATTACTCTTTTACACAAATTCCTCTCCAGAATTATGAATTGTGTCGTAGTGCTGAGCTGACCAAAATATCCACACTGGGCGTCTTTGAAAGCCCTGGGTTTCCACAGCAGCACACAGTTCCCCTCATTACAATTCTGTGCTAAACTGCCAGGTTAAAAACTTCAGTGACTTATAAAACGCCTCTAAAATTATTTCAGAGAGATCACAGAAGTAGTGAAAGTTCATCTTTTTCATTTCTAAAACCCAGGAGGCTAACGCTCTGAAATCAAACCATAAATATACATTTCTGTCCTGCCTAGAAACAATAACCTGATATAACACCCTGTTTCCTGAGCTCATTACCATTTATTGTGCAAGCAGCATGTATTACATCTTATGAATTTCGATTTCATTCTGGTCGGGCTTATTGTAAGTTTGATCCTTTCTTATTTTCCTTTCCAGGCAAATGCAAACTGTGCTTCAACAGTGGAAAAAAAAAAAAAAGCCAGACTTGCTTGGCTCTTGTCCAAGGGCAGAGTCGTGGCTAATCTGTGGTGCTGGGCAGCCAGCTCAGAATGCTGCCTTTCAAAAGGCAGAATTTGTAATAACACCCAGCTCTAATGTTGCTATGGCTCATCATTAAAGCAATAAATACAGAATACCCAGTGATAAAACAGGCAGGGCTTTTTTCCTAAAGAATTTGCATAATGGTCAGTGGTTATTCGTAGGGGAAACTCAAATCCTGCAAGGGCTGTAACAGCTTCAGAGGCAGCACCTTCCTCTTTGCTGCAGGAAAACTCATCCAGGAGCAAATGTATACCAGGGATAAGGATGCAGCCTTGCTGGTCAGTGTGCCATTGTCCCCAAAAGCACTGGGAAAGGGCAGTTTCACCCCCACATGCTGTGCTCCTGGGCTGCCCCCAGTTTGGACCAGCTGTGCTGCTGATTTCCAGGTCACACTTTGGCCACATTGGCAGCAAAGGCTTCCTGAGGCAGTGTTGTAAAATATAAAAGCCAGGTAGGCTGGCAAAGGCATTTCTGTGCTCCCTGAGATGGAGGCACAGGACACTGCAGGTATAAAAGAGACATCCCTCTGCAGGCTGGTGATAGAGTTCATCTGTAGACATTGCATTGTTAGGGAAATTCTTGGAAAACACTAGCGCAGGGAAAGGCAATGCAACGGGACACAGAGTAAAACATCTATGCATTTCCTGCTTTATGAGAGAAAACCTTTTATTGTGCAGAGTGCTTATCTGTTAAAAAACACTAAGATGAGGTAATAAAATATATATTTTGAAAATAAGCTTTTGCCTCTGCTTATTTGTATTAGATTTCTCTCTCTCTCTCCATCTCTATGTACATTTTCTACAGGTTACAGAAGCAGATTTATCATTTGCTGAGCAGTAGGACAAACCCATTTTACTCTGTGTTCTCAGAACAGAGCAAAAGTGGAGTTGAAGTCATCCATAGATGGAAAAAAAAATAACTTTATGCTGACCCCCTGAGCACCTTGTTAGAAAAACATACTTCTAGGAAAACAAAAATTATGCAAAATCTAGATGCAGCCTCAAAAACATTTAACTTTAATTTTCCAGAACAAGCTGGATAAAATGCTAAGTTTCTAAGAGTGTATTAGGTTGCACCCGCTCCAAATAAAATCAATCCAGTCATTATGCTTTTCTTCCTCTTTTTTTATTTTTTGTCTTCATCTTGGAAATAGACTACAAAGCTTGCAGAGAATCTCAGCAGGATGCCAACTCATTTTAACCTAGCTCAGCAAGATACCCATTGGAACCACAGTAGAAAATATGGATTTTGAATTAAAGATCAACAATTATCTAGATTCAGACTTATCTCCTTTGTTTTCTTCAGTATTGCCTAATTAGTCAAGGCTTTTATTCCTTTTATCTGTTATATGTGTCTTTTACTGGTGGTGTCACTTGTCTGCATGAGATGGAAGCAACAAAGCATACAGAAACAACTGCACTGAGAGGAAATAAATATGTTTTCAGCAGTGTCCAGGCCCTTTTGGGTGGATGCAAGAGGGGTAACAAGGAAGGCAGAGATCTGTACACTGTTGTGGACATAACTCCCTCTTTCCTAAGCTCTTAATCAGGCAGAGGACAATTGACCTTTCTCTAGTCACAACTACATCTTTTAAATTACATTAATAACCCAGGCAATATGAAGATTTAAAAAAATGACTTGATTAAAAAAACCCAAACCAACAATAATAGCTTCTCATATAGGAGCACACACACATGGCACTTACTCTGTGCAAACTTAGGAGGATTGTCATTCACATCACTGAGGGTAATTGTCACTGTTGTAGTTCCAGAGAGTCCACCCATATGTCCTCCCATGTCCTTGGCTTGGATGACCACAAAATATTCTTCTTTGGCTTCTCTGTCCATGTTGGGAAGAGCTGTTTTAATTATAGCTACAATAATGGGGGGGAGGAAACAATCAGGTACAGACACAAATTCAGTTTGCAGCTGTTTTTATGGATATATGCAAATATTGGTATACAAAAAATGTCAAAGGTCCGGTTAGGTTGCCTCATAATACAAAGGATGAAAAATAATTTGAGATTTTGAAAAAAACTGTATTAGAGGCCACTTACCTTGATTTAATTGGAAGTGCACTGAAACTGTGGTTCAAAACCCAAGACTTAATCATAGCTGTGATACATATTTCTTTTTCGTTTTATTCCTGACAAATTTCTTGGTGTCTGCCCTACCTCCCACAGAAATCCATCTTTTCCCCACAGAATTCCCACAGAAGTCAACCACATAGAAAGCTGACTCTGTGAACACTGTTAAACACATCTGTTCATATTTTTTAAAAGAATTTAAACCCAAACCCAAAAAATGTTTATTAAACAATAAACATTATTTAATCTGCTCCTGTGTATATTGCAGGCCACAGCTGTACTCTTAAGCCTTAAACTGAGTGCCTAAATTTGAACAGGAGAAAGACAGACTCCACTCACTGCTCAAGAGGGTCACCTGTGGAACAGGAAGCTGCCATCACCTACTTTATCAGGTAAGAAGCTTTTAAACCTAGATAAGTTCAATGATCTGCTGTATACCAAAATATAAAATGTCAGTGGGCTGAAGGAAATAACAACAATGGAGAGTTTGGTTAATTCTGGGGCCAGATCCACTGTAAACCCTATACATTTAATGGACATGTAGTAGAAGAAATAATTATTTTTTCTTTCCAAAATCTTTCCACCTGTAATGTGCTAACACATTTACAATATGTATTGAAAGTGTAATACTAAATGTTTAAAGATAAATTTAAATAGTGCTCATTGCAGTTTAGCAAAGTCCACCATAATCATAAGATCATAAGGGACTAAAGAAGCCCCACTAAACCTAGGGAAAACAATTCCAAATGTTCAATTGTAATATGGCCTTTTTTTTTAATCCATTTTTAAAATTCCATTTAAAAATAGTGGGTTTTTGCAGACACTGACAGTAACACAACAAATCTTTTGTTTTCTTTGTTGGGATTGGAGTAGCTGTGGAGACTTCATCCACCTCTTCCTCTTTTGTCTGGCACAGGGTTGTACTAGCCAAGCTTTTTAGAAATGACACTCTGGCTGAAATGCTGAGATTACCTATTCATATAGAATAAAGAAATTGTCTCTTTGCATTAATAGAGATGCCTTTCAGTAAATTCTAAAATTTACAAATTATAAAGAAAATGCTACTATTTATGAAATATCCCTTTATCTTTAACAATCTAATACTAAGAACCTGATCAGACCTTCTTTTCATGGCTGAGGACCACACTAAGAACAAGGGGGTGTAAGGCATTTATGATAAAGCAGTACACTTCCTCCATAAACCACCAAATATAACATGAGAGCAGGCTTGGAACCTACACTCTTGCAATATTTTTCCATGCAATATTTTTGGTTGTTGGCTCACATATTCTATAATTCTGCAGGAAAATGAAAGCTCTGCCTTACGTCTGCAGCAGCCAAGGCAAAGAAATCTTTTATTCCCAAGGAACTGGGAGCTACAGGAGGGCTGGGGTTGGAAGGGACCTCTGGAGATCAGCAGGTCCAGCCCCTCTGCCAAGGAAGGGTCACCTGCAGCAGGTGGCACAGGAACATGAGAGAGGGACAGGAAAACTCTCAATTAGTGAGTTTTTATTCCAGCACAGGTAATAAAAACCCACAGTAAGAGGGGTTTGGAGCTTCAAGGCCAATGGCCCAGCAGGTAAAAGTGCCTCAGGAGGGAGCCCACATTATTCTGCCACACACTGAAGAAAATGCTTGTGTTAAGTTTTCTGAGTGAAAGCAGGGGAACAATAAACCCCATTTATCAGATTTGATAGGTGCAAAATACAGTCAGTGAAAGAGTAGGGTCATTTCCTCCATGGCAGCCTGGATAAGGAAAGTAAATGATGCTTAATTCTAAAAGCATCTGACAGTTGTGGCTGGTTTGGACTGACTGGGTAACTACTGACGAATAATAATGATGCATTCTGCAAATAAGTCTATTGTTATAAGTGAAATGACTCATAAAATGCATTCTAATGCAAACTTGGCTATCAGAATTTGGTTCACATTCATTTTTTTCACTAATATAGCAGATCTAAATATCAATGAACCCTTATTTCAATAGGGCTTGCATTAAGTGCACTGTACTTTATCTCCATTATTTTTTTAGGCAGAGTTTCTATGTTTGTTTTGGTTTTTTAACCTAATTTACATAGTTTGCTCTAGCCTACAGATGAGTTGTATCAGATGCCATATTTTGTATTCTGCAGTTTCCACTGAGAAAAGTCAATTATTTCACTAAATTGATGGTTTTTCCCAGACAGGTATTTTAATTTGTCTCTTGATGTATTGAACAGTTTAGCCCCTGCCTATGGTTTGAAATATATCAGGCAGATTGAATACCTTCACAAGTGCCAAAATAGACATTTAAATTTTGGCTTTTAAGACATAAAAATGTTGGGGTTCTTTTTTCTGTATAAAGGTACTAACACAATCTGTTGTTTCAACAGTTTTATACATATCCACTGTCACAGACCATAAACCACCTGCCAGAAGCTACGTCAAAGTCAAGTTTCCATTTCAAACACAATAAAGGGCTAAAAAGAAGTTTACTATTTAAATTACTATAAGAGGAACTGCAGGTTTTTAAGAACCAAATCTATCCAAATTACACAGGCTGATTGTTGCCACTACATTCAGAATCTATAGAATTGTGGTCAGCAACAGGCGAGGGCTGATACCTCTTAGGAGGCAAATTTATGAACAACAAAAAGCTCCATCCTCATCTATCATGATCAAGACAAATACAGGCTAGGAGAGTTCTGCATGGAGAATCTCAAGGATATTTATTTGTTCTTTTGTTTTATTCACCAGTCCTCAGGCCAAGCTTGCAGGAAGCACTGGAACCATCTGTTTATTTTTAGAACACAATCCAGGCTCACCAAACACCAACACACACCCAGCACACAGAACATTAACTCACTGAGCATTCAACCTGCTCTGCTTCAGTTCAGCCCAGAAACAAATGGAGAATAAAATCATAATCACTTTCAGCATGCAGTGATGGATGGGAAGGAGATGTGCCAAACAGTGGTAGTTCAAAAGCGAGAGAATTACCATAAACTAATGTAAGGCAGGTAGATGCCTGCTGAAAGATTGTATTCAGAACAGTTATCAATGCCTTACTGTCAAGTGGAGAGATGGATGACGTGGTTCATGGGGTTTGTTCTGCTTCTAGAATCATTCAATATTTCCTGAAAGCCAGAAGGCAGGGAGAACTTATCAAGCCTTTCAGATGACACAAAGTTGGGAGCCATTGCAAGTACAGGAAGAACAGGATTAGCGTTCAAAACAATTTTCACAATTTGGAGAGTCTAAAATAGCAGGATGCAACTCAATTTGGCAAGCAAAAAGCATTTTGTGTGAGGGAAACAATTAACTTCCCAATTACAATAGAGCAGATGACTCACAAGACAGAAGAGAAGGTGGAGTCAAAATGAGCTGAATGTGAGACAACAGCTACTTGCTGATAAAAGTGCTCAAGCATTTCTTGGTATATTAGTTAGTATGTTATGTGCAAGAAGTGTGGAATAATCTTTCCAGTGCACTCACACAGGTAAGGCTGCAGCTGGAACAGCGGGTCCAGTTTAAAAAAAAAAAAATATTGATTTATATAGTCAGGGAAGTATAAGGAGAGCTTTTACAGCCAAATATGTAAAAATTACTGGGAACTACTCTCCTTTTCTACTGGGGGTAAGAGAAGAAATAATGGACCTAAAATATAACCCCAAAATGGGTTTCAGCTGCACCAACAGAGAGTTCAGTTGAACATTAGGGGAGTACCCACAGAGGCTGCCTGTAGAACTTGCAGCGTTCCCATTCCTGCAAGTTTTTAAGATTGTATCAGTCAACCATCTGCCAAGAATGGGAAGGGCAAATCTGATCCTTTTTGGAGCCAATGGCACTCACTGCATTCTCACTCGAGGTTCCTTCCCTCCATAATGTCTAAGTCAAGGCTTTGTCTCCTTGTAGCCTGAAATAATTCCTAAACCCTGCTGCCATGAAAACATTCACAGACATGTGGTACAACCACTGAACATGCACCCCCCAGAATTTCCCTACAGATCCTCTCCCTCAGGCTGGAAAGAACAGGAAACAGCTTGGAAGGTAAAGAAGTCAAGAAGCAAACTATTCCTTCCAAGCATGAAACCTCCAAATACTGAAGCGGGTTTTTTGTTTGTTTGTTTGTTTGGGTTTTTTTGGGGTTTTTTTTTGGGTTTGTTTTTTTTTTTTTTTAGCTGAGTTGCTTTTCCTGAACAGTCCCACTGCAAATAAAGCAGCTGCAGAAGGGGATTTACTTTTGCAGTGGTCCTGACTGCACACCCTGAGCAATTTGCCTCACAACTTGAATCAGTTCAAATGCACCCCTGGGGACTACATTCAAAAACCCATTTGGAAGAATATCCACTGTGTCACTGAAAAAGTCCAGGGGAAAGGAGGCAAAGTGGCAGAGGCTGCAGCTCATGAAAAGAAAGAAGCAAAAAAAGCAACAGTAAGAAGGACCTGGATTTCACTTTTGTCTCCATTTTTTTAAAGATCTCTTTATGATAATGCTATAAAACTATACATAATAATAATTGAGCACATGGAACAAAACCAAGCAAGCACTATGCAAAATTGGAACCTGAAAAGCCTTTCTCAAGCATCCCATTCATCTCACACATGCTTTGTGGAAGACTTCCTGCTATTTCAGCTTGAATACTTGGATACTTTGGAACTTTCCCTACTTCATTTTGCAAGAGCTAAGTAATTGCTTTGATCTTTCTTCCGTGCTAGAATCTTGGTGGAGATTCTTATTAAATATAACAGTCATTTAGGACCCAAACTCCTGAAAATCAATCCTGCAATTTCTTCAGAGCCATGAG